AAAATCGGGGGGGAGTTTAGTCCCTCCAAAGAGGTTTGGTTTTGGCCTTCCCATTAAGTTTTTTTTTTTTTTTTTTTTATTTTTTTCTTGACCAGGCAGAGTGGACAGTGAGAGAGAGAGACAGAGAGAAAGGTCTTCCTTTGCCGTTGGTTCACCCTCCAATGGCCGCCGCGGCCGGCGCGCTGCGGCCGGCGCACCGCGCTGATCCGATGGCAGGAGCCAGGAGCCAGGAGGTGCTTTTCCTGGTCTCCCATGGGGTGCAGGGCCCAAGCACCTGGGCCATCCTCCACTGCACTCCCTGGCCACAGCAGAGGGCTGGCCTGGAAGAGGGGCAACCGGGACAGAATCCGGCGCCCCAACCGGGACTAGAACCCGGTGTGCCGGCGCCGCTAGGCGGAGGATTAGCCTAGTGAGCCGCGGCGCCGGCCTACATTTAGTTTTATAACCCATTTTGAGTTAACTTTTGCATGTGGATATCAAGTTATCATAGCACCATTTGTTGCAAAACTGATTCTGTCTCCATTCAACAGCAGCCTTGTCAAAAATCGATTGACATAGATTTCTGGGTTTCTTTCTTAGTTCTAGTCCATTGAACCACATGTATACATGTGTAAGTATTATTCTGTCTTGATTTCTTCATTAATTTTTTTAAGATTTATTTTATTTATTTGAGATGCAGAATTATATATAGAGAGAGTTCTTCCATCTGCTGGCCCACTCCCCAAATGGCCTCGATGGCCACAGCTGAGCCAGGCTGAAGCCAGGAGCTTCACCTGGGTCTCTCATGTGGGTACGGGGGCCCAAGCACTTGGGCCATCTTCTGCTGCTTTCCCAGGCGAATCAGCAGAGAGAGCTGGATCAGAAGTGGAGCAGCCGGGACTTGAAAACTGGCATCCATGAGGGATGCTGCTGTTGCAGGTGGAGGCTTAAAGTGCTATGCCTGTGTCTTAATTACTGTAGTTCTTTAATCATTTTTGAAATTGAGATTGTGAATCCTCCAGTTAGGTTCTTTTTCAAGATTTTTTTGGCCATTCTGGGTGCTCTAAAGAATTTTTCATTTCGGTGATTGTACTTTTTGATTCCAAAATTTCTGTTAGCA